ATGAGCCTAACATCACAAAAGGAGCGAGGGTGAAGTTACTGACCAGCAAGCATTGATGGTGAGGGTGATAACTTCAATCCACCTGTATTTGTGGGGCAGAAGGTTTTGCATGTATCAGCCTCATTATGTTTGAGAATAAGTCACTCAATCTGTGATATAGATTGTGTTCCTACGCTCACCACTCAGGCTCATGTTTCCAATTTTATGCTGGATTAGCTATTCTACCAAGACAACCTACAGCATGCTGACTCGGACTTTTACTGTAGGACTGTGTGGCTGGCATCAGATAGACAAAGAAAGAAAAGAAAGAAAAAATGAGACAATAAAAGATATGATCATTAGTATTCTTAACACCACCCTCTATATACACACTCCCTTCTAATGAACCGCTTTCCTTGTACCAACCGTAACTTCACTTCCTTCATGTGAGCCTACTTCAACTTCTTAAACAACACAACTCATTGTTCTTTATTACACCACTCTCTTATATGAAGCCTCTGACTTCATTTCACTCTAACAAGAGATAACATGAGTTTAATCTAATTTATTATAATTATGTCTGTTCTACTACACAATGTTAAGCAACGTTTGGCGTTCATATCCAAGTGCGTTGCTGCTCTTCTGTCTCTTTTTTTCTTCAGAACCTTGCTCTGAGGGCACACCTATGGGACTTCTGATGTCTGGAACAAACTTGACGTACGCGTCTCCTCAAGGTCATAGGTTACAGTAAGCGCTCTACGAGTCTACTTTATAACAACTATAAACTTAATAGGTTGGGAAGCATGCTGTGCGCCAACAAATGTTGTAATTTATAGATCAGGCCTGTAAAAATGGAGTGTACATGCTCATGCAGAAATATATTATTATTATCATATGTTTTAATGTGTATAAACTTCACAAATATTGCCACAATTGTTTAAGGAGCTCAATTGATAAAGGACATAAGATTATCACCCTCAGTGCCAAAAGTAAACGTTTTTATCAGTAAGGGAACATTGTCCTACCTTTTCTGGATAGCTTACTTACTTTTTTTTAGGAAATGATGTTTGACTGGATAAAAATATCAACAATAAACTTATGAAGGATTATAGACTTACTTACTTGTTACAACAATGTATGTTTCCAGTTCTGAAGATTGGCTTCATTTGTCGATCGAAAATCAACACTTCTAGTCAGTTAAAGTTACAAGTAAGGGGAGAATAAATCAACATGGCCACCGTTATAACCAGAGTGTAGAGTAAAACAACTTTAATGTGATTTATGAGAATCATAGAAAAATGAAAGATTTTTGCACTAAGGTATGTGTTGTAGCAATGACTTTCTCACAACAGGAGATAAATATTAGCACTCATTTTGTAGACATTATGACAATTAGAGAAGTGGATACCTTTAGCTATCAAAACAGATGGTCCCTGGTCAGATTCTGTAGTTTTTAAACTAAATTGTTTCGGAATGATGAGTAACTTCTAGGTTAGTTAAGATACGTGCTATCGTTTAATTGAAACCAAAACAAAATAATGGGTAAATGACAGTTCAATAAGTTATCCAACCAATAATTGTTCAATCAGTGGTCAAATTGGGTGCAACAAATAGATGCCATTCTACCTTTTCTAGATAGATCACGAACAGGTCGTTCGAAAGATAATATTAAATTGTGCTATAAAAAGCAGTGTTTCTAGTTCTTGAAGAGTGCTTCGATTCATGATCAAAAGATTCACAGTTCCAGTAATTATAACGAACACAATCAAAAAGGGAAGTGTTTAACAACTTGGATTGATGAGTTAAGAGTTGACCTCAAAACGACAGAGCTCAAGTTTTCATTAACTTCTCTATTTCGTATAGGCATTATATCCCCTATTATTTTATATCGAATATTGAAAAGTTTTGTATTCTTGAACAGGTGACCGCCAACTGCACTGTGACTGTTCCACGATCTAAACAGAGACCTATTCACTACCAGTTTGGTTTCTTCTATCAATGGAACGGGGGTCAACTTCAGGCACGAAAAGCGACCCAATGTGACTGCCGACATGACTAATTATCAACTCGAACAAAATAATTGGGGTTCAAGAAAAGCATGGAAATTTAGTCAATACGTAAGGGAAAAAAGAAATTACAATACAATAAAAATGGTACAATCTTAAGTGAAAACACAAGGATTACCAGAATATATATCTGAAGGAATCGAGAGGAGTGAATTGCAAGTGCATGTATCAGGGGATTTTCATACACAACCCTTGAAAAGAATCTTCCAGGTTGTTGAGATATTCAGGAAAATATCCCAAGAATTACTATGTTAAGTCTAACTCTATCTTTGGACTTGAGATGGTGTCATTTTCCTACTGGTCAATATTGTACAATGTTATTTTCTATTTTGTGGTACGATGTGGTCTGTTTGATTGGTATATAAACAGAGTATGTCTGAAATATAATGATTCATATCTCCGAGGCTGAGACTTGTGTTCTGGATGCAACTGGCTGGACTAGACAGGGAAGCGGGACCAATCAGAACCCTAGGCCGTTCTTAAGTGTTTGCGCGTCTTTGGTCCGATCGACAATTCGTTGTCCTCTAATCTGCCGTCGCAGTTATTGCACAGGTGCACTTACTTAATTAGGCATGCTACTCCTCGTGAAGGAGCATAGGCCGCTCACCACCATTCTCCATACAACCCTGTCATGGGCAATCCTTAAAAGTTCTTTCCGGCCGTTATTCATCCTTTTCATATCTAATTCTATTTCCCAACGTAGTGTGCTCTCTGGCCTTCTTTTCCGCTTCCCTCCAGGATTCCAATTTAACGCTTGCCTCGTGATCCACAATGTATGTCCTATCCATTTCCCTCATCTTTTCCTAATTTCCTCTTCAACTGGAAGCTGGTTTGTTCTCTCCCACAGAAGGCTGTTGCTGATGGTATCCTGCCAATGGGTGTTGAGTATCTTGCACAGACAACTATTTATAAATACTTGTACCTTATTGATGGTGGTTGTTGTAGTTCTTCAAGTTTCAGCTCCGTACAGTAGAACTGCATTGACGTTCGTATTGAAGATTCTCACTTTGATATTGGTTGAAAGTTGCTTTGACTTCCATACGTTCTTCAATTGAAGGAATGCGGCCTTTGCTTTTCCAATCCTCGTCTTTACGTCTGCATCTGAACCTCCTTGTTTATCGGTGGTGCTTCGCAGGTATGTGAAGGATTCTACATCTTCCAGAGTTTTGCCATCAAGATTGATTGGATTTCTGCTCTCCGTTTTGAATTTGAGGATCTTGGTTTTCCCTTTGTGTATGTTGAGGCCTACTGATGCACAGACTGCTGCTACACTGGCTGTCTTTATCTGCATTTGTTCATGTGTATGTGATAGGAGGGCTAGGTCATCTGCGAAGTCCAAATCGTCTAATTGGTTCTGAGCTGTTCATTGTATTCCGTGTTTTCCCTCAGATGTTAAGGTCTTCATAATGCAGTTGACCACCAGAAGAAAGAGGAAGGGAGAGAGTAGACAGCCATGTCTGACTCCGGTCTTTACTTGGAATGCATCTGTCAGCTGTCCTCCATGCACTACTTTGCACTGTGGTCTGTCGTATGAGTTCCGGATAATGTTGACAACCTTCCCAGGAACTCCGTTTGTCGAAGAAGTTTCCATAATGTTGTCCTATCTACACTGTCAAGAGCTTTGTCATAATCAAGAAAGTTGATTTACAGTGACGAGTGCACCCAACTGATCGTTCGACGATGATTCTCAGTGTCGCAATTTGGTCTGTGCACTACCGATCCCTACGGAATCCAGCCTGTTCCAAGTGCATCTTAGGCAAATAAAACGACTTGCATTATTCACCGCAAATCTCCTAAGCAATCGCTGTAATTCGTTTGTCAACCAACGTTGGTTGTCAGGTGATTTGAAGAACTCTTCCAAACAGGCACGAGATATAGCATTTATGATTGTCGTCGTGTGCGTTTAACCCGAGTAATTTTTAAGGTACTGGGAAATATTCTTTTCACACCATTTAAAAACGTGAACGAAAGCTGGTTCTTTCTGAAAATATCCATAAAATTACTAGTAGCACTGTAGATCACCAACTCAGATGATCTATGTAGAATGATTGGAGGTCTACTCGAGTTAGACGAAAAATGATGTGACGAACCAATCAAACTTCGCGGTCAGAATCTATTATGGATTACCCCTTCAATGTATCAAGGTACCATGGTTGCCGTGAAGATCGTATACTACAAAGGATGTTGTTGTGGAAATATATTAGTAAGAATGAGTACATAGAACATAGCAAGACCACCACCGCATGCTCCAGTTCATGGTATACGATTAACTGATGCGCGTTGGCTGCCATTGGCTTTGACAGGAGTCGATGATCTATTTGATATTCAGCGACCCAACTGCCGAATGATTTGGCTAGGGCTCAGTGACATTTCACTGCCCCTACAGCACTATGAAGTTGCTGTGCTTTGAACTGTTAGAAGCTACCTATATAAACAAACTTAATCGATGCCATGGCTGGTTTCTACAAGGTCCTAAGTAACAAGTTGCTATCTATGGACTGTCTTTTCAAGACGAAACAAACCATACTACACTCATTAACTTGGTTTCGTCCTGTCACTTCGTATATACCATTGCGTTCTCAACCGTATAATAGTTTAGGTTGTTTAGTTTTCTTTTCTTGTTGACTGATATATTTTTAACTTATCACCCTTTAGGTAAGTCGTATCAGTCAACTGGCTGCCAAATGGTCCAAATATAGCTGTCTTCGTCAAACTTGGTTCCCTCCGCAAAAATGACGCTCGAGAATTTGTTGGATTCGCTAGCATAACCTCAGTCAAAGGCCTAGCAAACACTGTTAAATGCAGCCGATTACCCGCCATAGACCTCCTAAAGTCAACATATTGGCAGACAGAACTAGCTGTTTTGTACAACCTTAAAAGTTCGTCATGTGATTTTTTTATTGGATCGCAGTATTGTCGCGCTGAGTTTATTATCATTCATGTAGCGCACTGTTCAAATCATCTTGTATTGTTTCCCGTGCGGTAATAACTGTTACCTCTTGGCTCCACTGTTAGGTGTAAGTAAATTATGAGCTCCTACTTAGGGGCAAGCTCTCTTTTGTCTCATGTTGATATAGCAGCGTCCAGAGCCCCACATTAATGAGATATTTCCAGTTAATTGTTTCACCAAATTACCGGTAAACTTCTTGGCCATCTTAAAGATTTTCTGGTTTTGGGAGTTATATTCCCATAATGTAATGTCGTAATGATTTGATCCAATGAATAAGAATTTAGGTGAGGAGAATTCGGGCGCATCTGTATATGGATTAATTCAACAAGTTGATACCATTTTAATTATTTGGGTCCTGTTGCCATTTGGCACTTTCTCTTTGTCTTCATTTTAACATTTGCATCATCCTGCTTAATCTGGGAGATCCCAACAGTGGAGTGTACACTACATCTCGATTATGATTTTTTTAGTTTGTTTAAAGAAACCGCTAAATTTTACACTATTGACGTAAAAAAATCCACACAGTTACGTAATTTACTTTTCCAACCAACCCTAGCTCAAAAGGAAATAAAACACCGCAAACTATGTAGGGTGCTCAAATTCGATTGTTATTTTGTTACACTTCCGTCATTTAGGGCACGTTGGATATGGCACCTGGCTACATGAAACCAATGTATCCCTATCATAATTCAGTATAGGTTTGTGTACTTGGCATTGACTTACATTATCTAAGGACGGTTAACATTACAAAACTTCACCATCGAAGTATTCAGAATGAGGTTCAAACGTCTAATCTTATGGTCAGATGGTATGTCTTTTAACTACTGTGATGATAATCAGTAGAGATCCCTGGAAATGCATTATATCTGTAGTGTCTAGACATCACCCACTAATTACTTGTTTAGTGACACATGTTGTGAATCAATAATCGCCACTCTCGTTTGAATTGGAATTGTTTCTTTTTAATGAAGCCTAATTACAATTATCATCTGATTCTGCATTTCTACCTGTAATAACCTGCTTCTGCCATACTTCGTTTGTTGCTATCATCACAATATCGCAAACACGACCATCATTTTAATTTATTATATATTTATTAGATGGGGACGGAGGTGTTTGAGATTTCATGTATTAGTTAACGTAATACCCCAGAATTATCAAGTTTCTGATTTCGATTTTCTGTTTGTTTGTATTAAAATATTCCACAGCTGAACTCGACGTTTACAAACTGGGCCAACTATTGTCACGAATACTCACTGTTAACTGCTTCTGTCTCTCCAACTGCATATAGAAATGGAGACTTTTGCATCATATATTTCAGAAAGGCTGGGTACGGATGTTGTGGCTGTTCGTCTACTTTTATCCATGTTCATGGGTTTGTTTATTGGCATAGCTCATTTTCGTTATTAACTTTTTTGTTAGGTTATCCTATCGCTTTTATATACAACATGAAGGCAAGCTCGTGGAAAATTTCCTATCGACATCTTTATTTGTTTACCTGTGGTGTCCTTTTGTTCCTGTGGAATTTTGGTAGATTCATGTTGTCTTTATTGTCTTTACTTCTAGGTTTTGATATTGTGCATATGTTTGTTGGGATTTTCGCGACACTGTTTGTTAATTATTTGTTTATGCACTCGAGAACTGCCGTCACCTTTGCTTTCGTGTTTAATATGGTTTGTTTGCAAATAAATTTTAATCGCTATCAACTAAAAGGGATATTTAATTATCGGCTCTCATATATGTAACCGAGGTACCTATGATATAAATTGGACAACACCGTATTGTGTTCTTTGTTTGCGGATGATTGGACTATCATGGGATTTGTATGATGCATCTAAAACAGAAGTAAGTATCGGTCACCATGGGTTTTGGGATTGTTTCATTTTTTCAAACTATGGTAAAGTAAATTTCACTTAGTATAGCTACGTTGTCAGAATTTGGACTATATTGGGTTTGGGATATTAAAATGTTTGAAATTGCAAAAAGCCTCATGAATTTCTGGATTGGTTCGTGCTCTTACATTTTCAACTCAAAATTTATAGTTTTAGTTTTTCACACTTCTTTTCCACGAATTACTGAAAATTAGTGGTGATAGGTCTCCCAAAAAATGCTTCAGGAATCTCACATGAAGTGGTCAGGATGTCGGTCCGTAGTACATCTGATGTCTCAATATATTTTGGCTGAAATCAGTATTTAGAATTCGTTATCACGAAATAGGATAGTGAACTGGCGGGTTGCTAAATATCAGCTTGTAAAATAAACTCTGGTTACCGGTGTTTATTTTCTTACTGCTTAGATAAATTTTTAGGTATTAGCCCCCAAATGCCTTGGTACGCCCGAAAGTGGGGAGAGTCCTCTCCCTCTCGAAATGCTCTCACATGGCCACGCGTATATAGTCTCTACCAGGGAAGTCCTCCTCACTGCCTTCTCGTGGCAGGGGTGTTGTTTACGAAATCGAGAAGACGAAAAGCGAATATCCGGCGCTTTAACCGGGTCAGTGGACATGGGGAGTCCACCTAAGGGAGTTGGGAAACCCTTATTTCAGGCCAATGGTGCACATGCGCTCCAGTACTCTGGGGGAACAAATGGCGTATGAACCAATCGTTGGCCACCGGCTACCATGAGACTGCATCTCCTTACGATACTCCATTGCCTCGCGGACCAGAGCTTCAGGTCGAAGGCTCCGGGTGTGGCCCCCTAAGAAAACCACCTAATTCGGTTTGGGCACCCAGGCAGTATCACAGCCCTCACACATATCAAATGAGATCTGTGTGGTGCATATGTATTTGGTGCCTCCTTGTACCAATATCTATGTGTCAAAATAAAATAAATAAATAGTAATCCAGGATAACATTAATTTCCCTTTTTTGTGTTTTCTTAGAGTAAGCAAGTTTCAGCAAACCTAACATTTTTCATTCATGTTTATCATATGTCATGTGATTTAGTAGAGGGGAGAACAAATCACAGCACTTTATATTTTACTCACTGAGTCCGGAGAACAACTTCACTGATATCGATAATCTTGATCCAAATAGTGTTAATGGTGCACGCCTGAGACCATATTAGGTTTTAAATCTGGAATCTATACTTGAAGCATGTACTATATAATGAGCCATACAATATCTAGATGACGAGTTCTGAATGGAACAAAATGTCCACTCTAATTTCCAATTTCGACTACTATCAAAATTGTAACTAAGATAGTAGAATTTGAAGCATTTGGAGTCAAACGAATTAAATGAAGTTACTCCAAAAGCACTGATTTTAAGTCGGTTTCTAATACTACTATCCCAGTTATCTAACCATATTACTCAAATAATTCTTAGCTTTGTGATTTTGTGTCATTGGTTTTCAACTTGGTAGTTATGTACACATATCAAATCCACACTGTCATTCGTTGCAGGTTTACAACAATATCCAATTCATAAAACCACTTTTTATTCATACTTTTTTCCTGTTACCTTTGTCACGCAATCAGTTCTGCATATATTCTGGCAATCGTACTCATGCAGCATCTTGCTATTTGTTTTCGATTTATTATTTAAACACAAAAGAAGGTATAGGGAGACACCAACTATATATGCGCCACACTTCATTCTCTTTGTTTGAGGGCTGGAATACTTCCAGGGAGCCGAAACCGAAGCAGGTGGTTTTTTAGGGGGCCACGCCCCACGCCTTTGACCTAGAGGTCCAATCCACAAGGCAGGGGGCAATATTAGATGCAGTCCCATGGTAGCCAGTGACCAACAATAGGTTCATACTCCATTTCCCCCCTCAGGATTGTGAAGCCCATATGCACCACTGGCTGGGAGCCAGGGTTTTCCAACCCCCTTAGGTGGATCCTTCATATTCATCGACCTGGTTAGAGCTCTGAACATTCGGTTTTCGTCCTCTCAATTTAGTAAACAACACCCTCAGCACTTGAAGGTAGTGAGTATGAATTCCATGACAGTGGCTGTATACTTGTAGTCATAAGAGAGCATTCGAAAAGGGAGAGCTGACTCTCCTCACTCTCGATTGTACCAGGGCATTTATATACATATATTATGGCACATGTTTCTTTTTTTGATTTTGGTAAGTTTTGATCCATTCTGGCACTAAATGGCTCGTCGATTCGTTGAACAGTAGTTTTCAGTAAAATACCAAACATTCATTCGATTCGTTAAAGATGCATCATATTGTTAGAGTAATCAAGGGGATTATAGTTAAGGATACCTGTAAGTGGTTCATATGTTCACATATCTAAAACTACCAGAATATTAGAGTATGGGAGTTTTAACATTTTGATGAAACAGTTTTCATGTAGTCTGTCTGTAAGTTAATGGCAATACCATACAGAAATAGTTGTAAGGTAATCCTTTTACTTACTACAGCGTTTTTGCTGCAACGTTTTACAGATTTTTATTTTTAAGCTGTTGAAACGTCAGAGTTAATACTAGTTAGCGAGTACCATTCCAACTAAATATGAATTTGCCTTATTTTCTCTAGAGTCAACGTTCGGTTTCTCAACGAAAGTCAGCTTTATCTAAATTTCCTGGAGTATTGGAGACATTAGCTTTTTCTTTTACTCCAACAGCTTTTCTTACTGGACCCCAGGTGAGTAACTTTTTCTGTCAGTCGATTAAAGTAAATATATTTCGATCCGATTATTATTAACACCTATCTGATTCGCTTATTTAAATCCGTTAAATGATGTTTATATCCTACTGCTCAGACTACTGTTCATTAATTGATTCTTTGTTAAATACTGAGTATTCTTTAGGTATAATCATTAAAATCGATAAATGTTGAAGCGATCAGGGTAACATTATTTGATGGCTCCGTAGTATTTCCAGAACGTTATGCCGTAAGATTTATATTCTCAAATTAAATTTTACTGTTTCATTTCGACAGTACAAATGATTTTGTATTGTCGATAAATATGATATGATTGACAGAAAACACTCATTTTCTTTTAAAATAACGTGTATCAAGCTAGCTAATTATTCTTTTGTATTGAATTAAGGCATTTTTAGTAGCTGTGTTAAAACTTTCACTAGTTCGTTACGCAACACTGCACCAGTTATGTAGAATGACAATCTGAGCTGCACTATCAAACTAGTTAACCCAAAAAATAAGCAGTCTGTTTATTTTGTTGTTAATATCATGACTAAGAAGTTATGCTCATTATACTTGGAATCAATCTGATTGCTTTCTTGTAGTTTTCAGGTTCAAACTTTTTTCCAGCTGCTTAATGTTATTAGTTTCCTTATGTATTGTGTGACTCAAATCTAATTCTACTAACTTGTACTTATTAAACCTCAAACGGTTCAGCTGTAACCATCTTCCCTCTAGAATACTCATAGTATTTTGCAAGTGGTTACTCGGTGTATTAAGATAATCGGTTGGATTATTTAACGGTTTTTCCAGCTAAATGCCTCTTTATTATGCCAATTTGCTTATTGTAACTTCATATAGTTGCTTGGTTATAAATTGTACTTCACCAATTAAGTAGTTAACGAATATATTGTACGAATGACCCTAATTTACTTGGCTTAAAAACAAACTACAATGGGTTAGTTTTTTAATGTTCCAAGGAATATTCACTTAATGTGCTACATCTATCCACATGGTAATTTAATATTTCTAACCAATGAGAACCAACTTGACATCACAAAACATTTGGTTTAACACTACTACATCAGTGACAGGTAAAAAAAGCGTTTTATAACTCATTGAAATATACTTCCTACCTGCGATCATGGTATTTTTGTTTATATTTTAAGTTTCCCATGCGACATTTCCAAGCATTCATTGATGGATCATTAAGGCCAGTAGTTCACTTAAGAAAGAGCACATTTAAACACCGTTTCATCTATAATGCCAAGTAAGTATTTATGTTCGTTTTATTTTAACATTTTTTTCATTGTCATTGACGACATAGCATTTGTTGTCCGTTAAGTCCTTTAGTCTGAATAAATTTATTACAAGTTGTGCCTTAACTATCTCGATTTCATTACTAGATTTAGTGTCACCAGCTCTCACATATAGTATTGTTCAAAATAGAGTGAAGAGGTCTGTTGTTAGTTACCGAGTTGCGTAAATTGATTTTAATAACTAATCACAACTCAGTAATAAATTAAACTTGGGTACAATCTATGCAAATGTGAAAAATATGACTGGAATATGTACTCTAAACGTTTAATCATACATATGTAGCAAAGGCTTTGTTGTGTATTAATATCATTAAACAACGTATTCCATAATGCACATCTCATTCGTTTTAAAACTTCAAGTGTACATGCGTCTAAACCATTCACAATCTGTCAGTATCACTAAATTTTAAGTCATATATAATTAATAAATACATGAATTATTGTATCTTGGATTCCTCTAGTTGTAAGTTTTGGTTTGACGCACAAACCGTTGTTGTATGCTTCACATATCGCAAGTTATTATCAATTAAGTACAGACATATCATATAGTTTACTTCGACTTGCGGTTTACATACTTACGTCTGTTACTCCTTGTGGAAGAGCATAGACCTTTCACCATCATTCTCCATCCAACTCTGTCCTCGGCAATCCTTTCCAGTTTTTTCTAGCTGCTGTTCATCCCATTGATGTCTGTAGTGGCTTTGCTTCGTTAATCGATCACCCTCGTAACCGTTATTATATAAGCCTCGACTGTTTGAGATCAGAAGGCAAAGAGAAGTGGCAATTACAGTGTATTAGCGGATAGCACAGATCACAAAGCTATAAGCACATTGAGCGTATTTCAAGCGTAGAGGCGAATAAGTATATGCAAGCAGTTACATAGTCAAATTGCATAAGGGCGCAGCAAGGCAAAGCAAAAGCTAATAATAATACATGGAGAGAAGGATAATTCATCGAGTGATATTTAAGCAATCAACACCTTAGCTCGAGTCCGTCATGTGATGTAGTGAGCATGACGGTACAATGAAATGTGCAAATTATTACTGTTCAAATAACATTGTCTGTAAGTAAGTTAATAAAAGGGCTTAACCAGAATTAACCATAATCGATATTGATTGTATGATAGTTGCTATAGTCTGCTTCCGATACCCGACGCAGTGTGTTCTTGGGTGTTCCTCTTTCCCGTCCCCCCCCCCAGGATTCCAATTTAACGCTTGCCTCGTGATGCAGTTCGATGATTTCCGCCATGTATGTCTTACCCACTTCCAACTTCTTTTCCTAATTTCCTCTTCATATAGAAGCTCCTCCACGAGGAGTAACAGACGTAAGTATGTAAACCGCAAGTCGAAGTAAACTATATGATATGTCTGTACTTAATTGATAATAACTTGCTATATGTGAAGCATACAACAACGGTTTGTGCGTCAAACCAAAACTTACAACTAGAGGAATCCAAGATACAATAATTCATGTATTTATTAATTATACAATAAAAGTATGGGTAATAATAACTTGTAGAAGAGTTCCAAAAGTTCAGCTGTGCTCAATATTTACCTCGTTAAGTCGATGGTGCACTACTATATCTTGTACTATACTCGATCTAAATCTCTCACTGCATCTTTAAAAAATCTAGACTTTGTCGTAGACCATTAACAAAAGTTTTCGTAAATAGATTTTCTCCAAATGAATGTAAATTAATTATTAAAAGTAGCTTGGGTAATTTAGAACGTTGTTAGTTGTTTTAATCAGCTTGCTGCTAATTTTCGTACTGTTTATTGACGTTATATTGGTTATTATAATTTGCCTTTACGATCCACGTATAAATACATCTTGTAGAACAGAAAGTAATTTTCTAAACCTGCTCAAAATTAGGAATGTTTGGATGGATTATGGTGACAGTAAAACTATATACTATTTAAAGACGACTCAAGACAAATGCATAAATATAAAAGAAACAATGCAAAAAGGTATGAAGATAATTAAAGCTGAACTAGTGAAAACAACTGTAAAAATTAGTTTTTGTACGCACATATATGGGTTTATATTGTTTATTACTAACACTTCTAAATTCCAAAAGATATGTACCCATACACCTTTCGGTAAGTTGGACTCATTCTTATGAATAATATCGAATAATAAGCTTCTGGATGATTTTGGTCAACTACGTGTTGTGAAATGTAAAACAATTTACCTTCATATTACTCATGTTTTTTTTACCAATAAACGATTGTTCTAATATTGTTCAAATTCGTTCTCACTGTATCACGTGCATTCACTCTTCTTTTAGTTCTTAAGCTTCTGAATTACCCTATACGATTTTTTTATTCCACCAATTTATACTTTCTATATAAGAACTTTCGATCATTTGCAGTCTTAAGCCTCAAGCCAAACAATACCAAATGAATTTTGATAGAATAGTTTCATAGTATTTGGGCGCCGAGTTGATGTGAGACATTAAAGAGAAAGAACGTATTTGTAAAATTCAGGCAATGAATTTGAAGTAAACCCAACATTTCGCCTGGCAATCTGGTTCAAGCTTTTTCAAAGAAATATAATCAAACATCAAAATGATCGAATATAAATAGGTACATGGTTCTCCGGTTCACTGTATACTGAATATGTCATTCAATCAACGTTAACAATGTTTAAAGTAGGTATTTACATTAGTGTGTAAGAGACATGTGTGAAATGAAAAGTGTGTTAATATAACAGTTTGTGTGTATACGCAAGTGAGAAGAAATTTCATTCACTATATATTGTCTCTGGTCGGTGAAGTTTAAGAAAATATATAATTTTTATAAATGATATGAATCGAAAATGTCGCAGCATGCATAAAATGAAGATAACTAAACAAGAAATTCACTTGGTATTGTTTACTTGAGTCAAAGAGGAAAAATGTATTTGTAACCGAATGTTTGTGTTATTTTAATGTTCCAGTTAATTATTTAACATATTCAGATAAGACAACTGACTGGAATCGTTGAATGTAATATCTGTTAATTAATACTAGATAGACAGAACGGAATAAGGAGTTCAGGTTTACTTATTAATTATTAGTTGCCATAGGACAGCTAGTTGTATTCCATCTCTCCTATTAATACTGTTTGGATTAGCCCATATATGTAGGGCTTCGGCTTTTTGTCTTTCTTTGTAAGAATTAACGCCTTTTTGAAGGATTATCGTGCCTTTGGAATCAATCGTATGACCCGACTCTATCGAGTGTAATGTTATTGCTGATTTGTTCTCTAGTTTTCTTACATCGTCTGAGGACTTACGAATGTCGTTTTTAAACATAGTTTGTGTTCCTTCTCCCCCACATCCATTTGTTCTGATGTTTTGATCAAAACTAGTAAGAATCAAAGATCGAATACACAAGGAGGAGTAACGAAATTGTGTTTATGAAATCAAATGTAGTGAGTGTAATGCAACGTATGTAGGTGAATGCTTTAATTTTTACGAATACCTACTTTAAACATTGTTAACGTTGATTAGATGACCTATTCAGTATACAGTGAACCGGAGAGCCATGTACCTATTTATATTCGATAATCTTGATGTTTGATTATATTTCTTTGAAAAAGCTTGAACCAGATTGCCAGGTCCCAACCGTAGCTACTACCTTGACGCGGTGGTCGAACTTGCCTATCATGATGGCCCAACCGAGCTATATTGGCCGGAACATATGTTCCTGTAGGTTCTACCATGCCAGGCAGGTCGATTGGAGAACGGTAAGACTAAAAGCAGCAACTCGAGGTCTGAGGGCGAAGTCGTACTGCTGACTGTAGAGGGGTGTGATAGCAGTGAGGTGTTTTCCTCGGACAACTAGCATCTGCAGCGTTGTTGCCTTCTCACAAGGAAGGAAGGGGTTAGAAAAGGTTGACCCTAAAAATGCCACACCTCAACTTACCTCACGGATTTCCATCTCCGGCGGTAAGGCCCTTTGAAGAACGGAGCTAACACATCAAAAACCTTCCGAAAAAAGACCTTGCGCGACCGGCCTCAAGCAGTTGTCCTTTGGGCTCTGCGGTCACACTCTCAGGTCGTTAAGACCAACACTAATCCAACTTCTTTTTCAGGTTCCTCAAGAAATACCCTTCCACGGGGTGGCAACCGGGAAGTGACATCAGCCTCATACCCGTAGCAGCACACGAGATCAAGTTGGTTACATTCAAGTCCTTCCTACATCTCCTAATAACTCTCTTATCTCCACGACTAACCCTTCTTACATTCCTTTATCACCTCGCGCCACTAATGCAAACGATTCGAGTACGCGGAACGTTATTCCCGATCTCCTGAAACCACGCTCTAAACTACATGTACTAGGTTTTAACGTCCGAACACTGTGCCAAATAGGACAACAGGTTTCCTCATCTGGGACTTCAGAATCTCGCGCTGTTGACGTATACTGCACCTCCGAAATGTGTATACTGGACCCGAGTAGCGTCATTCATTTGACCCCGCCATATCAAAATAGAGAACCATCTCGATTCACGCTTCGTGTATCTGAAAGCCCTGATGCTGCTTCCCGTGGCCTTGTTGGTATAGGTATAGCATTGAGTCCTAGGGCAGAACTAGCTATCTTAGACTAGATACCAGTAGACAGTCGTGTGTGCGCTGTCCGACTAAACGGAACAGTAAGGACTCGGAAAGATAGGGACACTCGTCGTTGCCTCTTTGTCGTGTGTGCCTATTCTCCCACTGACTGCAGCTCAGATGATGTAAAAGATGAGCTTTACAGAAAGCTTTCCAACCTTCTCCGAAAAGCCAGGCGCTCGGATGTAGTAATAGTGGCTGATGACTTTAATGCTCAAGTAGGTAAACTAAGTGAAAGGGAAAGACACCTAGGTGGATCTTATAGTGTCGCGGCTCAACGAACAGATAATGGTGATCGTCTATTGCAGCTATGTTCAGATAACCGCCTGTTTCTTGCAGATACTAACTTGAAGCATAAGCGAAAACATCTTTTGACATGGCGGCTCCCGAATTCAACCGAACGTTGAACCCAAATAGATCACATCGCTATCAGCCACCGATGTAGGGGCTCGATAGAAGACTGTCGCTCATTCTGGAGCACATGCTTAGACTCAGATCATGCTCTAGTGCGAGCGCGAAATAGTCTGCTTCTTATTGGACGTAGGTAAGACACTGCAAGGAAACCTCCTAGGGTCCTACTCAGTGATAGCCAAGCTAAGAATATATGTCAGGGACAAATAGAAAAACAGTTAGGCAGCCGTGTAAGTGACGCCCACCTCGAGGCAGCATGGAGTGATATCCGAAAAGCTGTGGAAACAACAGTGATATCTGCTAGTAAGGTAAACCATAAGGTTAGGGAGCAACACTGGATCTTAGCAGCATCTACCACACTGATAGATGCTCGAAAACTCATTCCACCTGGCTCTAAACATGACGAAGAGCGGAGTCAGTTTAAACGCAAACTGATAAGAAGCCTACGCAATGATCGCGAACAGTGGTGGGTAGCGAAAGCAAGAGAGATGGAAAAGGCAGCGGCAATAGGCTACAGCAGACATCTCTTCAGACTTGTCAAGGGAACCGTTATTAGGAATCCAACTGTTAGCGAAACTATCTCGCAAAAAGACGGATATATTATTCACTCTCAATCCAGGAGATTTGATCGATGGGCAGAACACTTTAGGGATCAGTTCAACTGGCCTTCAGCCACACTTCGGTTTCCCACGATCTCCAGTCGACCTAAATGGCAAGTTGATGTAAGTCCTCCAACTCTTTACGAACTTGAAAGAGTTATAGGGAGAATAGCAGGCCCTGACAGGTTTATCCCTGAGATTTTTAAGGATGGCGATCCAGTATTAGCAGTGAGATTGACTGAGGTCTTAGGTAGAATCTGGGAACTGGACGTAATCCCATTTGACTGGTGGATAAGGAAGGACAAAAGTTCTCTTATGGCAATCACAGAGGAATCAGTTTGACTAATATAGTGTCTAAAATATTAGCTTCAATAATACTTCGACGCCTAACTAAAGCTCGTGAAGAGCAGACTAGAGAAAACCAGGCCGGTTTTCGACCTGGACGTGGTTGTATAGATCAGATATTCACACTACGTCAGGTTCTAGAACACAGACACACATTCAGACGTTCCACAATGGTAGTATTTCTCGACCTTAAGGCGGCATTCGACTCTGCTGATCGTGCGGTTCTATGGCAGTGTTTGTCACTGAAAGGAGTATCGAAGAAGTACATTAACCTTATACAGGCTCTCTACTCGAACACAACTGGTAGAGTGAGAGCTTATGGCGAACTGTCATCAGAATTGATTACCTCAAGTGGTGTTCGTCAGGGCTGTCCACTGTCTCCATTCCTGTCTAACTTTGTCGTGGATGTGCTTTTAGAGATGGCACTTTCCTCATCTAAATTTCAAGGGGTTGAACTTTTATCGGGAGGTTCACTTGTTGACTTAGAATATGCAGATGACATAGTTTTATTTGGTGAAGACGCTGACAAAATGCAGAGTCTTCTGACCACTCTAAGCAACAATGCAAGCATGTTCGGGATGCGATTCTCTCCCTCGAAATGCAAAATGTTGCTTCAGGATTGGGTTGCATCGACACCCGAACTAGTGATAGGGAGTGAAGTAGTTGAGTGTGTCGACCGCTTCACTTATCTTGGAAGTCTCATCAGCCCTTGTGGTTTAGTGTGTGACGAAATCTCAGCGCGGATACAGAAGGCTCGACTAGCTTTTGCCAACTTGCGTCATTTATGGCGTAGGCGAGATGTCCGTCTATCAACCAAAGGACGTGTTTACTGCGCAGCAGTTCGTTCCGTCCTACTTTATGGCAGTGAAACATGACCGGCAAGAGTAGAGGATATCCGTAGGCTACTAGTATTTGATCATAGGTGTCTTCGAAACATTGCTCGTATATCATGGGACCATCGAGTAAGTAACACAGTTGTTAGGAAACGGGTACTAGGTAAGGATGGCAAATCAATTGATGAAGTAGTGAAACTTCATCAGTTGAGATGGCTGGGACACGTGTTACGTATGCCCAACGACCGACTGCCTCGACGTGCTATGTTCAGTGGTATAGGAGTAGGTTGGAAGAAAGCTAGGGGCGGCCAAACCAAAACATGGCACAAGTCCATGAAGTCACTGACAAGTGGACTGAGTCTTGTTGGTAGGTGTAGACTACCTGGTTGGGGACCGCGAGATGAGAGCAACCGATGGTTAGAGACCCTGAATGACATGGCTCAAAATCGTTTGCAATGGCGCAGGTGCATTCACTCTCTGTGTTCTCCCAAATTCTAATCTTCTGAATTCTTCATGTCCCTTTTTTCCTCTTTCAAAATTTATTTCACTGGATTATACTCTTTAAATAACATCTCCAAACCCTAATCTGTCTGAATACTGCCTATACTTTTACTACCTCTACCGCTACTGGATTTGAATCGACAACTGTATCTCTGTGCTAATGTGGTGTGGCAACTCGAACTGATGTACGTACGTACGAAGTTCTACGTTGTTGCTGACCGACTGACTGAGATTGCCAGGTGGAACGTTGGGTTTAGTTCAAATAATTGGCTGAATAACACAAATATATTCTTCCTCTTTAATTTATTTTTCGCAAATCTTATCTTCCATGCCTAATCTTCTCTATTACCTCTACTATTCTGGAATTGGTCCTGATAATTTCATCTGACAATGTTAATGTAGTATGACAACTCGAACCTATGTACATGCGAGCCAGGTTCTACGTTGCATAAGATTGATCGACTGATGAACAATCCTTAAATCACAACTTTTTTAGTCAGTTTGATTTTGTTGTGATACGTGTTACTTAATTATACTCCTTATGTGTAACAGGTTCCATCGGACATTGAATCGCTTGATATTGGGATATTTTGGCGTAATTGTTTTATCGAAATGGTTCGCAATGTACCCTGCCGATAAAATGTTAACTGATGAGTTTCAATATGTTAGTTTAACTGCACTTTGAATATACGATTAAATGGTTTATGTATGTTATTTCATATACACATGCTTTATGAAGTTGGGTTATTTTCTAATCTGTTTTATTTTCTTCTGAAAAGTTGTCACTGGTCTTCAATTTCATTTGTCTAAATTAAACTACCCCATCACAAGATTCTGGCGGAAAAATCTTATTCAAAACAGTTATCACTGTAAATTATTGATTTTTTACACTTAGTTTCATGTTATACCATTTCAGAGTAAGTTTATTCGAATAATACATACAGAAGTAGCAAATATCTCACACTAAGATTGCAACAAAGGACTACTATTTTTCTCTTGAGACGATTGTTTTGTATGGTTTCAATATCTTATTCTAATCATCTGCAGTCATTCTTTGTATTATATTATAACGCTTACAAATTATTGTTTTTGGCGGTATCTTGGGAGGGTAGAGGTTTGTTACTCAAATAAATGACAGGTGGAGTTTCGTTCTCCGAATTGTATGTTTTAATCATGAAGCGTTTATTGCTCTTTTGGAAAACATAATCAGCACAAAATGTAGGTGAAGGTGAACTATTGGAGTCTTCCCAAATATGTCTGACAGTTTTTCCCGTCGATCGTTCTCTTGCCTGGATATTTGTTTTGATTGCCTTCCGTTTTGTCAACAATAACCAATCAAGATCGAGATCTACATGACAAGCTATTAGTTGTATATGGAGGAATTCGAATGACTTACTTCTGTTTGAATTTTGTACTAATTGTGTTGTTCAGAAGAACAGTGGGAGCCTCACAATCGAAAATTCCAACCTAGAGAAGGGAGCTTCATAAAAATTGGCTGTATCTGTGTCGTTAGTATTATCAGCCCGTTAATAATAAAAGTTTTGATAGTTGAATTAAATCTTTCAACTTCAACTGTCACGTCGCAATTTCTCATAATTGTTAATCTATTTTGATATGAGTAGTTGAATAATATAATAAGGTTTGCAATAAAATCCACCTTTAACCTGGTTACAGAAATCTGCTTTTGTAAATATGTTACATGAAGATTTAATACTTTTAAACCCTTCAATATTTATGTTTAGCTTCTCTTGTACTAAATTTTAATGGTTTTCTATCATAAAACAAATATACGTTTTGTTATAGGAGCTGCTTAATCCACTGAAACATTTACAACCATCAACTCACTGCAGGCTGAAATTTTAATAATTATTTTTTCGAGAAGTATCTTAAACGTAGCATGTTTAGCTATAGATTAATGACGTAGATCCTAGGACAAGAGCTTTTATCTCTCAGTCTACTTCCAGTCTAGCACAGTAAACAAACACGAAGAAAAGTGAAATATACAAAACTAATGCAATACATGGAAAATAAGAAAAATGAAAATTGGGAAATTCAAAATACGAAATGGAGTGGATTGCACGTATCAACTTCTAAAATTACCCTTATTAATTAGAACTATGGGAAGGAGAATTACTACCACGCTAGTAAAATAAATTGAGTAATTTCTTTTGACGTTCTTACCATAAATTTCGAAACATCGTGGGTATTATAGCATGTACGTATTAAACTGGAAGTTATTCTTCGAGGATTTTTATTGTGTCGTATCAGGTTTCTGTATTGATTTTAACATCTTTTACAAATGTTGGTTCTGATTAAAATCATTGCAGTTTCATTCATTTCATTAGCCTAAAATATTTCACACATGTACTTCTGGCACATATATAGCCTCCAACTTTTTGTCCAATGTACTAATTTTATTCTGCTGTTAAAGTTGACCTATATCTGTTTATTTATCCTGTGATTTGATTTAAAACTTTGAGTTCACTCACAGTTCTTATTTATACTCATCCATAATTTGTCGTACAAAAATCTAGTTGAATGAATAATTCCATTTTAATACTATGTGTACATTTTTTCCTCATTTATTTGCTTGAGGTAAATTCTAAATTCAGGTTTATGGTCGATGGGAAATCAGTTCATTGATTTGTTTGTTAATGAAAGTCTATCACTCAAGATGGTTTGTAGTGATTTCGTATAATTTGATGGCAGCTTTCATCAGAGCCTGGGATCATCTAGGAAACCATTGTAAACCAGGTAGAACTAGATGCCTATTTCAGTGTAGTTTGCGACTTTACAGTACCGTACAAACCCACTATCCTGCATATGAGGTTGAATTTCGGACATTCAGATCTCGGAATAAGGATGATACATTCAAACTTCTAAGTCAAAATACGGTAGTTTACGCTTCTAATTTTATGTTAGAATTTAGTCAGTTGAGCGCCAATCATTTTTTAATGATAGTTTTGTATCATGAATTGACATAACAGTTAATTAACAATTAAGCTATATATATTAGCATAGCTAAAGATGGATTATAACTTTGTACATCCTTAGATTAGCAATTAGTGGTTAGCCGTATGATTTTCAGCCACTAAGTTACCAGTTCGAAACTCTGTCCACCTACCATGGTTTTGGCGATCAGTTAATAGCACTGGTCATTAGAACTGGGGTTGTGTCTCAAAGCCAAGTGTGCGAATCTATCTATGGTAAATAAGTTGATAGTAGTATATGTACGTAGTCCATATGAAAGTTATAATAATTAACTGACTGCGCATGAATTCACGCTTTCATTTTTGCCTTTCATCCTTATACATTCGAATGACAATTTTGAATTTCTTTCATGCATATTATTAAGTGCTGCTATAATTGGATGTGTTTTTATGTTTTTTTGTTGAGTAATTGAAGTACAAATCAAATCAGTATATTACTGTTTTTTTACTTTGTCATCCTTTATACTGTCACTTTCGTTATTGAAAACTTTGTTTGCAGGAATGGAGTTTCTTTTCACGTCTGCTTTACATGATGATATTTGGACAGTTAACGTTATTACGTTATGTATCAATCTGGCTAATAGCTGTAAGCCTGAATTTTGTATTACTTTAATAATGATTATTTTCATTGAGATCATGAACCGATGAATGTTAGACCACCACTGTAGGCCTGGGAGGACTGGACGGCCGTTTCGTCTTAGTATTGGACTCCTAGTTTTAAATAATTCGACTAATTTATTGTGTCTAGTGTACACGTTTGCAACTAAATAGTATTTCGAAATTTGCTCACTAGCATATTTCGTCAGTTTACTATGATAATATCATGGACATGACAGTCTGTAGTCATAACTGGTTACTTCACCATAAAAATTAAATTGACCACTTTGGTCGTGGGAAAAAGGTCAACTTTTTATGATGTTCGCTGCTTACTTTTCACGAAGAGTTTTATCCTGTATTTTGCTAATTAAGTAGCATGTTGAACCATAATTAGAAAAGCAAACAGATATCTTGAGTATAGTCTTTGTTGAAGTGAAGTGTTTTTTGAATACATCTCATTGAATTTTCTGTGGTTATTGTTGTTTTTAGTATTCGGTTACAAGGTTTCTCAAATTAACACTAAAATCCAAGGGTTACTGAGCAGCACAGTATGTTAGACCCAAGTTTTCGATTGTATAGGAATATGCCGGGTGAGGGTGAACTTTTAAAATTAACACAATTTGATTGATAAGTATTAGGAGCTACCTCTGTATATTAAAAGATTTGAAGTCACTGTGATATTCTCCTATTAAATCTGTTCAGAATCTATCAGCAGTACATAAGCTTCTCTTTTTATTTGAGTGCAATTCATTTCTAGCATATGTACTTAATGTGATGTATATTTTTGGTTCACCTATTCTAGTTTACACGATTTAATGCTACTCCATTTTACGAAAAGCCTGTTTTATCATTATTTTCTCCTAAAGGAAGGTTCTTGTGTTTTAATTGGGCTTGGATGTACTGGTTTTGTTCATATTAGATCTAAAGGATCTATTCAACTTCCCGATTTTATAACAAATAAGGATTCTGACACGGTTACACGTGACGGTCCTGTTTTAAAACGTCGGGATTCTGCTGTGGATTGGTCTCTTGTAGAAAACTATATCAAATCCCATGCAGAACTTTATGATCCTGAACAAGTGATAGTACGTGAAGCTCCTCATACAGCCTGTGCAAATATCTCTTTAAAACGATATATTTTCGCAACAAATACTGACGATCTTGTCGCTGGTTTCAACATCAATACCAACAGATGGCTTTTAGAGTAAGTTTGTTGTCTTTTTACATTTATGAAATACTGAATCGACAGTCTGTGTATAAATGAATAGTAATTATTTATTGTTTTGTGTGAAGATATGTAAAAATGGTTCTTAAGATATCACATATTTTGGTATCAGCCTAAATGTATCGAATGCTTTGTAAGTAGATCAGAGGTTTTGTTATTTCTGTATTTCTTTTAATGTAAAAGGCTTTTATGAAAAACTAATTATCATGATTGATGATATCTATTCTGTTTTATTATTACATATCATGAAATTAGTATGTGTGGTTTTTGGAGCTAACTGTCTAAAAGTGATAGTTTTTATTGTTTGGTTATGGTATTTGCTGTCAAATAGTCAAGGATATTATTGGTAAATTGAACATGTATGATTTAATTGCGTTTTGTATCAAATTCCTTTTCTTTTATTCCGTCAAATATGATGCTCATTTTTATTAGTAGTCTGGAGTGTGTATCGTAAATGGTCTGTAAAATCAAGCATCTTGTGTTGTTCATTACCAGTCAAACATTAACGTCAAACTATTCGAATTCACCAATTTACATCTTTTATTCTATATAATAAATATGTGATGTGCAAACTTTATAATAATTCATATGATGTACCCTAACTATCACATTTTCTCTTTTACGCAAAATAATTCACTACTGTTGTGATTGTTTTTTTTACATCTCGTTCTTTATTCTACAATGTGAACTGTACACTTCTCTAGATATGTTATTCTTCCAGAATAGTAGAGTATGGGATTGGGTACTATCAAACGATCACTGGCTACTATGGTCTGTGCTTAGACCTCTCTTGACTCCTTTAGTCCTTGATAAAAGGTCATTCTATTCACAAAGAAATCAAGCTAATCACTAGAACGAAAATTTCCCGTCAAGGTGATATTTATTGAGTTATTGTAAAAAGTCATTCTGTAGCTTTGAGATTTCATAGTCATCCAAAATTTGGAATGATAATATTGGAGTCTAAGACCTGCTTATTTATTGTGTAGTCATAAATTCGTCAAAAAACGTATACTTTATTTGTCATATTTAGGATCCATCTTTTAAGTATTCTAATCACGCTGTTATTAGGATGAATAAGATTTCCAAAAGCTTTCAAACAGTTAATGAGGAGTAGATCTGCCAATCTTGATGTTTTTTGTCAAACCAAAGTTTTTTCTTGAGAAAATGCTTTCTTTGTAAGGCATCTCTGACTCGCGTAGAGAAAGATCTACATGCCAATCAGTAGAAGTTGATATAATAGTGGTAACTGGTGGATAATTATGTCATTTAGAAATTCAGGAAAGGCTTCAAACATTGTACCCCAATGAAATTGATATAAACAGTTTCATCTTTCCTAAAAAAATAGTTAAGATCTAGAATTTAATATAGTTGTTTTTATAAATTACTCAAATACACTATCTTCTGACGTCAATACATTAAAAGACCTATTTTTCAATAGACACGTATGCGTTTGTGTGCATTTTAACTGCTGTGTTTCTCCGTGCATTTCGTAATCGTTTTGTGGGTACCGGTAAGAGTGGGTGATTAGCCCGATCTTCACCACCCGGGTTACCGCTGACGTTAGTTCATGAGTCATTCGTCCCATTATCCAGGAGGCACGACGCGGATGTGTGAGTCGGTTTGCACCATCCGTGTCTTTTTTGCTTCGATTTTTAATGCCTCAAATATTTTCAATCCCAAGAAATATCTAATTAATTACATTTAATATGTATGTGTGTTTCTGTTCACAACTAAAAATGGTGTTTAATTCTTTTAGTGTTCTCAAATATTTAGTAGTCATTAGTTCTTAAATTGTAATTAGATTCTATTTGAGTGTATTTTTAATTTTACGTTAGTAGTAGTACGATTGTACCGTGTAAACTTGTTGGCATAGAAATACAACTGACGGCAACCTAATTCGCTTAGACTGTTTTTTTTCAAACTAATCATGGACAGTTAAATGTTCATGGGGTTATGTAATACGGTTACTTCATTTTTGTGAGGCATTAATATAATACGTAGGAAACAGGCACAAACATCCATACCTTATTTTTCAGCGTCTTCATAGTTATCCGTCAAATCGGAAATGATCATTGAATTTGTTTGTATACTTTTGGCTAATAAAACATTGATACTAAATATGTCTGTAATTATTACTTATTTACGCCTGTTAATCCTCGTGGAGGCCACCCACCAGTACTCTCCATCCAACCATTTCCTGGGCAATACTTTCCAGTTCTTTCCAATTGTTATTCTTTTCATATCTGCTTCTATTTCCCAACGTAGTGTGTTCTTTGGCCTTCCTCTTTCCCGTTTCCCTTCAGGATTCCAATTTAACGCTTGCCTCGTGATGCAGTTTGATGATTTCCGCAATGTATGTCTTATCCACTTCCAACTTCTTTTCCTAATTTCCTCTTCATCTGGAAGTTGATTTGTTCTCTGCCACATCAAGTTATTGACGATAATATCCGATCGACGAACATTGAGTATCATACCTGGACAACTGTTTATAAATACTTCTCCCTTTTGACGATGGTTGTAGTAGTTCTCCATGTTTCAGCTCCGTACAATAGGACTGCACTGACGTTTGCATTGAAGATTCTGACTTGGATATTGGTTGAGTTGTTTTGAGTTCCAGATGCTCTTCAGTTGTAGTAATGTTGTCCTTGCATTGTTGATTCTCGCCTTTACATCTGAATTAGATCCTCCATGTTCTTCGGTGATGCTTCTCAGGTACATGAAGAATTCCACATCTTGGAAAGCTTCTCTATCAAGTGAGATTAGGTTGGTGTTCTCTATGTTGTATCTGAGGATCTTACGCTTTCCTTTATGTATGTTGAGGTCTACTGCTGCAGTGGCTTCTGCTACATCAGTTGTCTTCACCTTCGTTTGTTCGTGTGTATGGGATAAAAGGGCCAGATCATCTGCGAAGTTCAAATCGTCCAGTTAATTCCGGGATTTCCCTCAGATTTGTAGGTCTACAAAATCCAGTCGACCATCAGAAGAAAGAGGAAGGGAGACAGTAGACAGCCTTGTCTGACTCAGGTCCTTACTTGGAATGCATCTGTCAGCTGTCCTCCATGCACGACTTTGCACTGTGGTCTGTCGTATGAGTTCCGGATAATGTTGACAACCTTCTCAGGAACTCCGTATGTCGAAGAAGTTTCCATAATGTTCTCCTATCTACACTGTCAAGAGCTTTGTCATAATCAAGAAAGTTGATGTCTAGTGACGAATTCCATTCAATTGATTGTTCAACGGTGATCTGTAATGTTGCGATTTAGCCTGTGCACGACCGATCCCTACGGCGTCTGGTCTGTTGATCTCGAAGTTGGGCGTCTGCTGATTCCCTCATTCAATTAAGTAACACTGTTGAAAACTTTTCCTGGTACCGACAGTACTGTGATACCTCTATTGTTTTCAAATCTGCTCAGATCTCCTTTCTTTGGTACTTTGACGAGGTATCCTTATTTTCAGTCTGTCGGCGGCACTCGTTCTTCCTCCCAAATTTTTCTGAATATAACGTGATGCATCTCCGCAGTTACTTTCATATCTGACTTCAGTGTTTCGGCTGGTATATCGTCAGATTCTGATCTTTTCTCGCTCTTGTGGACCAGACCGTTAAATCAAAGACTCTGGATGTGGCCCCCTAAGGAAACCACCTGCTTCGGTTTGGGCGCCTGGACAGAATCATAGCCCTCACACAAATCTAATGACAAAATGTGGTGCATATCTATTTGTGTTTATGTGTTTAAATAAATAAAGTAGTACTGAGCCCCGGGTCAGGAGCCGCACTGATTGGTGTGATTCCTATTAACAATCATTTATGTGCTGTTAGATTAAAAAGCTGGGTAAAGGTGAGAAGAGATTGGTAAAAACCGCTGTTTCTTGATAATCCACACTCAGATCGATTTCATCCCGAACTCAATCAAATGTGAGTTCTGCCGTCAATCAAGTGATCCCAAGAAAGTGCGTTCGAACGATACTGTAGTACTAGCCTGAAATTTGAATGCGAAAGCCGTGGAAACTGAGTTGTTGAGTTGCTGACACTAGGATAAAGTGGAAACTGCAGAGATTTGGACAATTTATGATACTGTACCATAGTACGAAAGTAAGCTGGATGTAACTGGTGTATATTGGTCCATTACGACTCCTTAGTTAGAATCCAAGAGACGATGAAACTCATTGACCTTAGATATTATCAGACATGATTCACAGTAGAGGCCGTTGTCGATGCTTCTGTAAATTTCCTTTACATTCTTTAAGATAAGATAATTTTTGTTTACTGAAAAAACTATCTTGATCACATTTTTAGCCTACCTGTATTCTATTGTATACTATTCTCTTCCTAACTAAATTTCTTTTTATTTGTTTATAGTATTTTCTCTCTATATATATGGAGCACATTTTTTGGTTTTGTGTGACTCACTATGAAAACCACCTACTTCGGTTTGGGCACTTGGGCAGTATCACAGCCCTCACACAAATCATATGAGATTTGTGTGGCGCATATGTATCTGGTGCCTCCTTGTACCGATATCTGTGTCATCAAATTAATAAAAAATGATAATAAAAATGGTTATCTGAAGCTATGTCAGTACCTCTTCTGGTTTTCACGTCTTCCATTGCCTTCTGACCTTTGCAGTAATGCAAATATGATTTATCTGGTTCTCCGCGGTGTGGTCTTGTGAGATCCATGTAGCTTTGTGCATGTGTCCGTGTGCGAATTTAGGGTACATAGATTTACAAGCCTATCACCGTTCTCGTTTCTTACTCCCAGTCAGTCGCTGTCATTCCATGATATCTTCATATCCGTTGTTGTTCGTTCCGACTTTGGTGTTTAGATCTCCCATCAGGATGGTGAAGTTTTTTCTTAGGCACTATGATTGACTGCAGCCTATCATATAACTGATCTTTATTGTTGTCGTTGCTATCATTAGTGGGTGCATAACATTGGATAATATTCATTGTGATCCCCTCCTTCTTTGTTTTGAATGATACTTTGATGATCCTGGATCTGTGAGATTCCCATTCTACAAGTGCATTTCGTACTTCCTTGGACAGCATTAGAACAACTCGCTGAGCGTGCTGAGCACTTTCTTCCTCGTGACCAAAGTACAACAGCATCTCCTGGATCTATCCTTTGCTATTCAGCTTGAGTTCAATGTGTTTCGCTGATTCTGCGCACCACCGATTTGTATATCCTCATTTTCGTTGCTTTTTGACTGGTCGTCCCGGTCTCCCACATTGTCCGTACATTCCATGTACCTATAAAATTTTTGCTCTGTTTGTTAGAAGGGGCATCGGTCTCGTGACTTCCTAAGAATCTCGGCTTTTATCATAACGCGTCATTATTCTTCCTTCATCTCAGATGGTAGAGTTTAAATGGTTTGATTTGTTTAATCTGGATGGTGTTATTTTAGCGAGATTGTTTTCTACGGAGTGGGGTTGCTGACCACATGCCCAACCTTCCTCTTTTACCATAGCTTGGGACCGGCAGTAGCTGTAGAAGAGCTATAGGTGGAGTTTCTGTAATTATACTATCTCTGAAACGTTTTTGCAAAATTGATATTACTCACTATGAGATGACGTATTACTGGGCTTTATTTTGTCCGGAGTACACCTGTTTGTGATCAGATCAATAATATTTCACAGATATATGTATTTATTCATTACATAAGCCGGTAAATTTTTAATCATGTTATCGTCAAGCTGACAGAAGTTAATTATTTAAAATGTTGGTCAAATTTGTTTCATTAGTGTTTTAGTATGTTCATTCTTTATTTAATTCCTAATGTTTAATATGCTAGTATCTTAGTCTTATTTACGTTCTCTCTTTTTATATTCTAGTTAATTTGTACTTGTATATACTATTAGGTGAATACAGGAAATAATCGTAGTTAGGGTCAGTATCAAGAGATTACGATATAGTTTTGTTTATGGGATAGACGTCCTCTAGTAAAGAAAAATATCTCGCGAAAGTCTATCGTGGTTTCTATAATCCTTGTGTTGATGATATGAACTGATGAGTCTGTCTGTGATCTCTTAGTTGGTTGTCTTAGAGAATAAATGTCATGTGATTTACATTGATTCGTCTGTCTATCTGGTGTTGATTTCGTGAGTCATTCTTTTTTCCTTGAGTACTCAGGAAAGATGAACCAGTTGTAGAGTATTACGTTAGAAAACATTTATGGGTGCGCATTGTTGTGGAGTTTAAAAGTAGAACGAAACGGCTGTCTAGATCCTCCTCTTTTTTAATAGTTTCACGTCTGATATCAATCCATAGCGAACATCGTCATCTCATTAAGTTAGTCTTTACAACCAACTGAAACTGAAATATCTCTAAATTAATAACACATGTGCTTCATTTGAAGATATGCTATTGAACAGAAATGAAACTAGGTTGTAATTATATTAAGAAATTGTATTCCTATAGCATTGTTACAAGTTTCTGTTATATTTGTTGATTGTGTTTTCTAGTTATGTTTATAAACGCTTACGTTTCTTGGGCAATAAAAATTTATCTCAAATAATATCATTATTATTTTTGGCACTTTGGCATGGCACATACAGTGGCTATTATGTCAATTTTGGAATAGAATTATTAGTAGTGACAGTTGAAAAAGATGTAAGTTTTTTTTGTTTTATTATACACACATTTTTATATGTTTTGCGATCTTGATTATTTCAATGCTCGGTTATTCAGTTAACTCTTTATTGAACTGATAAAGCCAATGTTTGTAGGATAAAGTAGTATGGAGGTGTTGCGCGGCGTGAATCTACGTAACAAATGTAGAAACAATTTAAAAAAATAATATTTTCGCATAATATTTAAAACTCATATAAGTGAAGAATATTGTTGTCCTGAATACATATAGTTATATATATATATATATATATCCTGTGGAACGTATCGAATATTGACTATGCTTACTTAGCGATTACGCAGTCAATATCTTAAAAACACCTGTGATCAAATTTGTACAGTCCGCATACTGTGTTATCCACGTGCAATAATTATGTTACAAATATGTGAAGCTATACAATGTGAACTGTTGTAAAGTATTTTTTTATTTGACAGATAAGAAACATCATGAATCTCTGCCAGGATTCATCGGTCGCTCATCTTTAAGAGATGATTAAACTCTCAAGGTGATCTGATCAGCACATGCATCTTGGGCGAATGATTTTAAAAAGCGTAAGGCAATGTTCTAATCGAACTGATCCTCTTTTTGCTCGCCAAAGGAAACTGTTTTTGCAAACTACAATGATAAATTAAGACTTATTTGAGGAGAGTATGGTTTAAACTTCAAATTACTTTAGATAGTATCACTATTTTCAATTACCACTGGTGAAAACTTTGCAGGTTCTAGTTACCTTGTTTCACATAGAATTAGTCACAATCTTGACTTTTCTAAAATGTAGCACTAATATTTCATTTTTATATTCGTGTTTCTGGTATATATTAGTCTATTGTAGTGTCTCTATGTCATTTTAATTGTCTGTTTGAGTGTTTCACTCTAATGTTCAATCATTTAGCTTTAAAACAGAGTATGTTGGTTTATGTTTTGTTTTGAAAACAAAATGGGTATGTGATTAACGATTGTCTTCATTGTATACTATCATCTAAAATTTAGGGAAAATTTTAGTCAAACTATAATTTGTTGACGAACCAGTGAAATCAGAGATAACAAGTCTTGGATTTTGGCGCGAGATTTACTCATATATATAGTTAAATAGCATTTTGGCAATATAGCTGATGTCAGTTCGTGATGAAAACCCTAAGCCTAACTTCTGAATCTAAACCTTAATCATAATTCCCCCGAATGCCCTGAAACGGCCGAGAGTGGGGTGAGTCCGCTCTCCCTCTCGAAATACTCTCACACGGCCACGCGTATACAGCCTCTGCCAGGGAAGTCCTACTCATTGCCTTCTCGTGGCGGGGGTGTTGTTTACGAAAATGAGAGGACGAAAAGCGAATGTCCGGCGCTTTAACCGGATCACAAACCAATGGTGCACATGGGCTCCAGTATCCTGCGGGAACAAATGGCGTACGAACCAATCGTTGGTCACCGGCTACCATGGGATTGCATCTCCTTACGATGCTCCACTGCCTTGTGGGTTAGACCTTTAGGTCAAAGGCTCGGGGAGTGGCCCCCTAAGATAACCACCTGCTTCGGTTTGGGCACCCGGGCAGTTTCACAGCCCACACACAAATTGATGAACTATTTATGCTTATGGAAATTACCTTTCTCGCTTTGAAAAACAAACAATTGATTCAGATTATTATCATTACAATTATTGTATTTATTAATACTAATATTATTATTACTACTATTATTGTCATTATTGTTATTATTATCATTATTATTATTATTTTCCACATTATTCACCCTCTTTTATACTTATACAGCGGCTCGTCTTTGGTGGAAATCCGACTGTATCTAAACGTTCTCGAGTCACTGTCCGGTTGAAAATTGTATGTTACCACCGAATATGAGTACTGAAGCAGTGTTTCTGAAACCACGTGCACCATTCAAACTGGCTGCCTTCAACGTTCGCACACTTATGCAGGTTGGTCAACAGATAGGGCTGGCTATGTCTTTGGAAAGTCTTAATATTGATGTCTGCTGTCTATCCGAGACCCGTATTCAAGACTCTAGCGAAGTACTACAAATTCGATCTCCATCTGTCACTTCAAAAAGCTTGTTTTACGTGCGCTTATCCGGGGACCCTGTGGCATCTTCGTCTGGTCTTGCTGGCGTTGGTGTCGCACTAAGCGCTAGAGCTGAGGCAGCACTAGTCGATTGGATCCCCATTAACAGTCGGTTATGTGCTGTTAGATTAGAAAGTTCCATCAAAGTGAGAAGAAATCGGCGTGAGAAACGATGTCTTTTCGTCACCTCCGCCTATGCCCCGACAGATTGCAGCCCGGATGCAATCAAGGATGAGTTTTACCACCAGTTATCAGTTCTTCTCCAGAAAGTGCGTTCGACAGATATTGTAGTACTAGCCGGGGACTTGAATGCTCAGGTCGGGCGTCTAGGCACAGAAGAGAGTCGTTTAGGTGGCCGATGGGGACTCGTTGGTCACAGGTCAGATAACGGGGACCGTCTACTGCAACTGTGCACAGACCACAACCTGTTTCTGGCTAGCACTAACTTTCGGCACAGTCATCGCCGATGTGCCACCTGGCGTTCTCCCTCTGCATCTCAAGCCTGGACTCAGATTGATCACATCGCGATCAGCTACCGCTGGCGTGGTTGTGTAAAAGACTGCCGCTCCTTTTGGAGTACCTATCTGGACTCTGATCATGCCTTGGTCTGCGCCAATCTTGCCTTACTTTTCAGTGGAAAACGAAGTGACCACCATCAACGGATTGATGTTAGCAAGCTGGTTGCAACTTCTGTTGCAAGTAAGTATCGAACCGAGCTAGCCTCTAGGCTAGCTACCACTCCACCGAAAAGTATAGATGAGCATTGGTTGCAATTGCATGACGCCATGAAAATGGCGGGAACAGTCAGTTGTGGGTTTGCGAAACGTCCCGCTTTTAAGCACTGGGTTTCTTCTGGTTCCTTACAACTCATTGAAGCCCGTCGGTCTACTCCGGGTGACCGTGAGTTTGACCATAAACGAAGGATGTTACGTGAGGAAATCGGGCAAAGCTTGCGTAAGGACCGAGAAGCCTGGTGGTCGAAGCGTGCTCATGAGCTGGAAGCAGCAGCTGCATCTGGTAACTACCGGAAGCTCTTCCAACTCATCCGAACCACTGGCAGCAAGAAGTCTGGTGTGAGTGAAACAATCTGCGAGGATGATGGGATGCCAATCACTAACATCCATCGACGTCTTGGACGATGGGCAGAATTTTTCGAAGGGCAGTTCAACTGGCCTGCTGCTCCGGCAACATCGGTCAGACTGTCCTGCCCTCCATGGCCGGTGACGACTGATCCACCAAATGAGGAGGAAGTCCACAAGGAACTCCAACTCTTGAAGCGTTACAAATCACCTGGCCCAGATGACTTACCTCCGGCTCTTTTTAAACATGGTGGTGACTTTTTGACTAAGGAATTGACGACGTTGTTTACAAAGGTTTGGGAACTAGAGAGTGTACCAATGTCATGGAATGAGTCGATAGTTGTCCCTATTTTTAAAAAGGGTTCACGTCGTTCCTGCAACAACTATCGGGGGATAAGTCTACTTCCGATTGCGTCCAAGCTATTGGCTTCCGTCATACTTCGTAGGTTGTTTAAAACCCGGGAAAGATTGACTCGCGAGGAGCAGGCTGGGTTTCGTTCTGGTCGAGGATGTATTGATCATATCTTCACCCTCCGCCAAATGTTAGAACACCGCCATACTTACCAAAGGCCAACAATCGTAGTGTTTCTTGACATCAGGGCTGCCTTCGATTCGTTGGATAGGACTGTTCTCTGGGATTGTCTATTGAAGAAGGGTGTGCCTGAGAAGTTTATTAACATCCTAAAAGCCCTGTATAAAAACACCTCAGGCAGAGTGAGGGCATACAACCACCTCTCTCCATTGTTCCATTCGAGCAGTGGGGTTAGGCAGGGTTGCCCAATCTCACCATTCCTCTCCAACTTTGCCATCGATGACATTCTGGAAACAGCTCTGATGAATGTAAGTAATGGTGGTGTGGATCTGTTGCCTGGAGAAAGACTTCTCGACCTTAAATAGGCGGATGATATTGTCTTGCAGTGTGATAATGCCCAAGGCATGCAATCCGCACTTAATCAGTTGGCAATCAGTGTCCGTAGGTATGGTATGTGCTTTGTACCTTCGAAGTGCAAAGAGTTTCTAGAAGACTGGAAGGATCGTAATCCTGTACTCACCCTGGATGGTGAGCAGATAGAAGTAGTCGAGAAGTTCGTGTATCTGGGTAGCTGCATAAGTGCTGGTGGGGGTGTGAGTGATGAGATCAATGCACGAATAGTGAAAGCCAGAGCGGCTTATGCCAATCTGGGCCACCTTTGGCGCCTTCGTGATGTTAGTCTGGCTGTTAAAGGCCGGATCTACAACTCGTCGGTGAGAGCAGTTCTGCTCTATGCTTGTGAAACCTGGCCTCTCCGAGTTGAGGACGTTAGACGACTCTCTGTGTTCGATCATCGCTGTCTCCGAAGGATTGCTGACATTCAGTGGCAACACCATGTCAGTAATGCAGAGGTTCGGCATCGTGTGTTCGGGTACAGAGATGATAATTCAATTGGTGTCACCATCTTGAAACACCGACTTCGGTGGCTTGGACATGTTCTCCGAATGTCGTCCCAGAGAATTCCACGTCGTGCATTATTTGCCGACTCTGGGACTGGTTAGAAGAAGCGGAGAGATGGTCAGTGCATGACATGGTGTCGTGGCATGAAAGAAAGCTGAAAAGGACTGGCATCTGTTGGCCCTTCACGACTCCCTGGTTGGGGTCTGAGAGATGGTGCTACACAGTGGCTAGAGGCGTTATCAGATATGGCTCAGAATAGAAGCCAGTGGCGATCCTGCTGTAACCTTCTTTTACTTTCTTCATAAAAAGTGGTTGTGTCTCCCTTACCTGAAAGATTTCTTCCGATTGTACCTTTGGGTTCCCTGTTTACTAGCACATTACCTTACACCAATCTTTTCGTTATTGTTCTCTCTCTTTTTGTGCTCCTTAGCTTCTTTTTTTTTCCTTGTATTCCTCTTCGAATATTCATTGTTCTGTGTGGCGCATATATATTGGCGCTCTCTTGTACCAATATTTATGTGTCCAAATAAATAAATAAATAAATTCCTCACATTAATTTATGACCTTCTTTTGGCCCTAGCGGGTAGATGGATTTTCCGAGGGTCACTTTAGCGTTACTCAAAAATTGAAAACTGAATTTTCATATTTTAGCATAGAACAATGTATAATCTTTCAATTCTAATGTAGTTGCTAGTGTGACAGTTAATATGTTTGTTCGATAATAGTTTTTCTCACAATCCAATGAATTTACTGTACCTCGCTGTTTTCTCGTCAATCACATGTAACTCGAAAATTTTTAATTATCTCAAATGTAAACGAAGTAAAGAAATGAACTTTTTAAAAAGGTTTTTATACTTGTTTAGAATGATGATTCTAGAATGTGTCATTTAGTTGTTTTTTACGTGATGTAACAAAATCTTTAGTATGTGTAGCAGAATAAAAGCTCGTGTGAGTTTAACCTACCAAATGGTCTTCATCAACGAACCAGGATTCATGGTTTGACTAAACGCAACTAGCTACCTACAAAATATAACGTTTAACCAACGGAATCATTCAAAGTAGTCAGTGAATTGTCTAATTTTATCTGCTTAGGATTTGCGAAGGCTATGGCAATCAGCAGGCTTAAGCCCAACCTTTGTATTCAAAGAGTCGATGTTTAACCGTCAACTACCGTAGTAAACAAAGCGAATTAACCATTCCGACCTTTTTGCTTCAATTAATTATAATGAAAATTTAGTGAGTTACTTTTATTGTTCCTAGATGTCCTGGATTACCTGCCATATTACGGCAGTAAATTATCTTAAATATGTTATAACCATCGCACTAAACAATTCTAAAAAATTTTGATGGAGTTTTGTTGGTCGATGACCAAACCATCAGAGAACAAAACTCCATCAAATCTTCTCCACCATCTCAAAATTCTAAAAAATGTTGCAAAAATGTATTTCTTAACTTCTTTTGCATTCCAAACGAACAATTCGTTTTTTTCTAATTGAATGGTACGTTTATATTTGAATATAGTTAAACTTAATAACCTGTATGTAGTTAAAGCGAAAGCAAGGAAATACAATGAATTCATCGTATCCTGCAAATACTGTTGTTTTTTCCATCTAAGTTTATGAAGGGAACCAATAGCATTAAATCAGCTAACTTGAGAACTCTTTTTATTTATGGCAAGTCATTGTTTGAAATTTACGGACTATTATAATATATATATTCCTTTTATCATTAGCTTTCTATTGACTTATCAACAACTGTTATACAATTTACTATTCTTAATCTGTTCCTAGTTTTTTATTTACTGTATCTCCTACTCATAACCACTTTTGGCTTATTCATGCATAATTGATGTCTTTCATTTTACGGTGTGATATTGTCTGATATAATCGTGTATACACTACTCATTAATAAAATATAATGTAGTGGAGGTTGGTTACTGACTTCTAAACTCAACGGGCAGGATAGAGATGCTACAGAATTGTGGACCGATAAGGACTTAGCAGTTAACTTAAGATTACTAGTGCTGATTGGACGCATAATTGATGAACTCAGGGATATTAAGTCATAGAAACTGCGATTCTGATTAGTGGCTTTTTCACATGATATGGATCAGTGGTCAAAATTAAAAATTATTTTCAGTTTTTTAAAAGTGTATTTCATTGCACTTCATAATTATAATTAGTATGACTGAGTTATTCTTTCTCAATATATGTACATATGCTATTGTTGTTTTTTGTTTCTAATCAGTTTTTATCCATACTGAAGAATTCAAAATACAATCATTTCTTTTATAAAACGTTTACTGGACGTATAATCAGCAGTGTATGTGGCAAACTTCATATTTATTTTATTCTGTCTAGTCCGATGGTAGCGTTTTATTTGTTAAAATTTCATCTATGGTTCCCTGTAAGTGATTTTATTGTTAATTATTTTCAATTGTCAAATAATCCGAAACCAATTTTTTTATTAACTTAAATAATATTTAATAATTAGATTTACATATTCTTTTATCCTGAAGTGATATCGAGTGGGAAATCATTAGAAATTAGGGGGTATTGTAAGGTTGTTCTGTCCTAATTGGATATTCATCATCATTGAGTGAGGTATTCAGAAGATTTTTGGGTTGTAAACTGTATTTATATAAATTTTGGCAATTTCCGAAACAGTTACTATGTTGAGATTGAAAGTATTTTCTTCAATATTAGATAAAGAACTATTAACTGTACTATATTAGAAACGGTTTTGATTTATTCGATCCCAGTTTTCACGGTTTACTTCTTATATGTCTGTTTTGTAACATTATCTATGTATTTTTTTTATTACAATTATATATAAAGGGTTTAAATATTTACTCTATGACAAATAATAGTTTCTTTACTCATTTGAGTACAACTAACGTTGTATAGTTGTTTATTTCAAGCAAACTTCTTTGTTACCTTATATCTATTTCTCTCTCTCTCTCTATATATATATATATATATATATATATATATATATATATATATATACAGGGCAGCCAAAACAATATGCACTGTCAGTTCATATAGTCATTGTCTGTTTTACTGAACTGTGTAAGTAGGTTTAGAGTACCTGGATAGCATTCGGCCATCGTCGTTACGAATTGTTGTAGATGTTGTGTGATATTGATCAGAATCGGTCACAATAGTATGGATGCTTTCACTTTTTATCTTTTCTTAGATCTTCAGTTTTGAAATTATCTTCTATTTTACTATCACACAAATTCATTCTTCTCAAACCTTATTATCTATCTCTAGTCTCTTCTATTACCACTGATTTCCTTTCTATTTCTACTACTCTGCCATGCCATTGTGATGTAGAGCATGTTGAACTAATGGACATACATGACAAGTACTACAGTGCACATGACTGACTGATAATATCCATATAATTTACTCCGTAACTTTGCTTTTACTATCCAGGCATTGAAATCAATTTATTTCATTGGTTTATGGTATGTATTTTGGCCATTAATAAGACCAACTGTCAAATATCTACTACCACCATTGCCGAAATCTCAATCAGAAAAGTCATCTCAACTTTCAACAACAATGAATGGTGACGTCACTTCCGTCATTGATCAGTTATCATCAAGAAAACAACAATGATACGATAGCATAATATAATTGTATTTATTTCCTTACCGTGTTCATTCAAATATGTCAAATATATACATATATGTGTACGTATCTATGTGAATACGAAGATCGAGATAACATAAAACTGTGACTTCATTATTGTTGACCTGTTGTGCCTTTCTTCTATCATGAGTAAATTAAGATGACAAAGAAATAATAATGATTCGTTCATATTGTACGATACTATATGAATTTATATGTGTTAGTGTACTGTTCATCCTATTATTTCTCTTCAATTTACTCACTAAAAGGATAGATTGAGCACATTTATCTTTAAATTATTCAGCAAAGATTTTTCAAATAATTAACAACAATCCATATCAACTTTAACATTTCAATTTTTATTTTTTTTTATATCCGACTAGATTTTTTTCATGTGTTTTTCATTAAGACTAATTGTCTATATTATTATAACTATTGCTGTTATTATCATTGTTATCTGTTAAATTTCTTTTTCCTTGATGAAATGGATATGATTTACTTTGAAACAACTTGTAACAGACAATGAATAGCTTGAATAATCAATCTATACTGTAGCAGTACTTTTAAGTATTTTTGCTTCTATTATTATTATTATCTTTCTCTATGCTATATATTTTAGTTTTTATTTAAGCCTACACTATGTACTTCTACTTTTGTATGTATTTTATCTTGTTATTGGGAATCATCAAATTGTTAATTAGTGTTTTCCTCAATTCCTTGTCACTTTATTTCTTCCACTTTGTGTCTCTTTCTGTTATTTCATTTTTATCATTAGCAGATCTACCTCTAAATCTACACTTATTCATTTTTTCTATTACAATGTGATATTTTTTAAGAAAACAGTATCGTTGGCTACCAGTACTAATCATATAAAACAACTTCACGAGTGTATAGCAAATTTCTAATCGAGCGATGCCTTATATATATATATATATCAGTCGGTTCTGTATTCCTCCATGTTTACATAATTTTTCCCCTAAAGTATCATTTATTCATAACTGTTAGTTTTAGCGAATACCACAGATATATCAGCGAGAAACGTAGGTTATTTTCCATATTTTCAAACTTTCGACACATTTTGTTTGGTTGAATTATTGTAGGATAATATTCTTTCAGCTTTAGTTTTATACTATCTTTCTTCTCTGGCCTGTTATATTTTGCTTATTTGGAGGATTTAATATCATCTAAGTTGTGAAATTATCCGATCATTTATAAATTCATGTATGGTATTTTATAAATATAACGGAAATCATCATTATACATTTTTCCTCGCCAAAATATTTTTCAGATAAGATTCCTCACTTTTGTTCGAACTTTTAACGACGAATCAAATTAATTGGAAGTTCCTGGGCTATTTGCATGTGCAGTCCTTATAAAATTATTATTACACTTAGTCCAATACATGAATCTTTACTTACGCCGTAGAATGTATTACGTCATATGGGTAGTCAGAATCAAGATAGCTTGTTTCGTTTTGTGCACACAACTCTGTGTGGGTTATGACCGGCTTTGTTAGACTACGAAACAGAAATTTCCCGCTTCGTCAAATATACTTGACGGTTTATGCGTTATGCGGTCACTGTGATTTTCCACACTTGATCTGGGATTAGCGTATTGCGAAGTGAAAATACGAGTTTAGAAGAAAACTGAACCATTCTCTGTAGTATTATGGTTAACTACCAGAACTAAATTTAGCCTTAAATCTTTCTCGATTATTTACTGACGGTCTGCTTCGAAACAACGGCGAATATTATTAAGCTTTCTATCAATTCAGCATGTAATACGCGTGTCTTGTGTAACGCAGTCTGACATGATGAATAAAAATAACAGTCACAATAAAATTCAGAGGATAATCTCGTTTTATAAAAAAAACTAATAATAATGTGACGAATCTATTGACTATATGACGGTAAACATGACCGTTATTTCGGCCTATGATCCACTCATTTGACGTGACAACGTTGAGTATATTTTCACTATTTCTTGAGAACACATATACCTTAAGATAAGTCTTTAGCGGTTCGAAGATCGACGTCCACTTCTAAGCCAGTTGGCGCACGACAGTCTCAGATCGCGTGTCCAATATTTTATGAAACTATTTATGTTTTTATAAACGATCTAGAAAAATGTTGGTTTACATTTAAGTTAGTGGAGTTCTGTAGAAAAAACTACAAGTTAAAAATCTCTGCGAAAATTTACCAGTCATTTAAAATAACCACATCTGAGCTCTGTGACCTGTTCAATGAAAGGTCCTTAGTCTAAATTATGTATTACCTCATTGATTGGTAACAGTTTCAAAGTACTTTTTGAGTTACTCAAAGTCGGAAATATGTCTTTGACAGTCATATACTGTCCAATCCTAAATGTGTAGAGAAAATATTCTTAAAGTTACCGAGCTTCTCTTCCGTATACCAGATTTTGTGCAGTTTAATATTCGCATAATATGTTATACCGTGGTCTTGAGTCTATATTTTAAATATTTAATTCACTGACAACCCAATGTGAAATCTTTTTCGCATGTTTCATGAATTTGCCTAGAAATCCTTTCATATATGTTTCCCATGTGACAGTATTTCTTTGTTTCTCCTTACATGCAACGTTATTCCCACAAGTCTCTCTACTTATGTATATTATATTTATATTTTAGTTGATTTTAAAATTACTGTTTTCTTTTAGTGTATAATCTGATATTTTTCTGACTGCTAGTTTGTTTCTCTTGACCTTGAATTTTGGTGGCTACTATTTATTTATTTATTTATTTGAACACATAAATATTGGTACAATAGAGCGCCAATATATATGCGCCACACAAAACAATGGGAATTCGAAGAGAAGTAGAAAGAAGAAAAAAAAACTAAGGAACGCAAAAGAAAAAGAGAACAATGACGAAGAGATTGGAGTAAGGTAGTGTGGTAGTAACGACGGAACGAAAAGGTACAATCAGAAGAAATCTTTCAGTAAAGGAGACACAACCACTTTTTATGAAGAAAGTAAAAGAAGGTTACAGCAGGATCGCCACTGGCTTCTATTATGAGCCATATCTGATAACGTCTCTAGCCACTGTGTAGCACCATCTCTCAGACCCCAACCAGGGAGTCGTGAAGGGCCAACACAAGCCAGTCCTTTGCAGCTTTCTTTCATGCCACGACACCATGTCATGCACTGACCATCTCTCCACTTCTTCTAACCAGTCCCAGAGTCGGCAAATAATGCACGACGTGGAATTCTCTGGGACGACATTCGGAGAACATGTCCAAGCCACCGAAGTCGGTGTTTCAAGATGGTGACACCAATTGAATTATCATCTCTGTACCCGAACACACGATGCCGAACCTCTGCATTACTGACATGGTGTTGCCACTGAATGTCAGCAATCCTTCGGAGACAACGATGGTCTAACACAGTCGTCTAACATCCTCAACTCGGGGAGGCCACGTTTCACAAGCATAGAGCAAAACTGCTCTCACCGACGAGTTGTAGATCCGACCTTTAACAGCCAGACTGACATCACGAAGGCGCCAAAGGTGGCCCAGATTGGCATAAGCCGCTCTGGCTTTCACTATACGTGCATTGATCTCATCACTCACACCCCCACCAGCACTTATGCAGCTACCGAGATACACGAATTTCTCAGATACGTCTATCTGCTCACCATCCAGGGTGAGTATAGGATTACGATCCTTCCAGTCTTGTAGAAGTGCTTTGCACCTCGAAGGTGCAAAGCTCATACCTACGGACACTGATTGCCAACTGATTAAGTGCGGATTG